CACGCGCCACCTCCCGTGGAGACGGGGTTGCCGCCATAAAATCCCAAACCTAGACGGTGCATAGCCCACAGACTACGCGAAACCCATTGGTCTCTTCATTCGATAAGTGAAGCAACGTTCCGAGTGGTGGTATTTCATTTGTGCTTGCGCTTCCACCTATACTACACCTCAGATGCCGCCGCACAGAGCCAGACCGGAGTCAAATTCAACAGGGTCTTCTTTCCCCGCTTAGCCCTTCAAGTCCGTTCCCTTGACTGTCGTTTCGCTAGATAGTAACTCGGGACAGAGGGAATCTTAATGTTCCATTCATGTGTGAACCCAATCGCACCGCAGTGCAATGGGCCAGCGCGAGGGGAACCACACCTCCACTCCAGTCGCTCACACACATGTCGATGGATACCACCACGCCGCCATTCAGTGCACCCCACAGAGGTCACAGTGAAGTGGTCCAGCAACACAACGGTGTCCTTCCCACTCACATTGCACACACAATGACAGTCTCACATGCTCATATCAGAGAGGCACTGCAGCATTCCCTAAAATGTACACCAAGCCACACACCTACAGAGAGGAAAAGAAAATCACAAGAAAAGAACAACAACAACAAGATACCAACAGCACACAAAGCACTCACAATACAATAATCACAGCTGCCACTCCCATCAGAGAAAAACATTCACCCACACCAGCACATCAACACACCCAGAAAAGAACAACAGAAAAAAACAGACCCATCACGTGAAGCCGAAGAGGAACAGTCTCAGTCCACCTCCCCGCAGGCTGCAGTCACTCAAGCCACACAACACACACCACAAGGGCAGAAATATGTTCGTGGTAATACCGTGAGCGACACCACCGAGAGAGAAGGTGAGAACAAAGAAGTGTGTTTTCATTACGTGGGTGGTGTGAGTAGCAACCCAAACACACAAAGGAACACACAACAGAGGGGCACACTCAAAAACACCTACAACCCATCGATCTTTATACCAAAATAAAAAATGCAAAAAAGAGTGACTGCGTGAGGCAGACACAATAATAGAGCAAAGATGCAAAAGAAAAGAAAAGAAATTCATTACTTACTGTGGCTGCGATGCCTGGACACAGTCCAATTCACCCCAAGGTTAATAACGGAAAATCATTGTGTACTGAACGTGCCGTGCCCATATCTTTATTCCTGATGTCCCTGCAACAGTTTGTTTACAATGAAAAAAAAAGAAATCATTCCATAAAAATGAACACACAAGATACACACAAGGTGTATTGGAAACGCAAAAGAGAAACACACAACTGCACATAATGTGCAATGAAATTATAATGAAACACACACACACAAGGGAAAAAACAAAATTATAAAAACAAAACAAAAAGAAAAGAAAGCCGTGATCACCAAGTGAATATCTTCAGGAGGCAACCAACACAATTCCCAGCAGTAGGTGTGTGTGTCTTTCGTATGGGGCGAGCAGTGGGAATGATGCACACATGATGACAGTCCATACACACACAAAGAGAAGGAGGGTTGGTAGTGTGCGTGTTTGTGTGTCTTGGACATCCTGCCATTCTTCACATTTCAGTCACAGCAATTAAAACACCATCGGGATTGTATCCCATTCCCATGGGTAAAAACAATAGTTATTAATATCACGGAACACACACACATCACCAGGAGGGCACAGTAAATGGTGACAAAACAGAGCCCAGATAATAATGCGAACAAACAAAGAGGACACTCCACTCACAAAATGATGGTTTGTCATGTGATGAGTGCCATAGGGAGTCCAATAGATTTGTTCAGTAAAAAATGCAAGCAAGAGATTTATCGAACCGAAAAAAAAATCGAACAATCAACCAAAAACACAGTGCCCTTACAATGCATCCATGTTCACTCAAAAAAAGATTAACTGTGCACCTGTGTTACGGGAACACCGATCAGCAAACGAGAGTGCACCCCAACACACAGAAGAGAATCAACAACAAGGGACTCTGCACCAATGCAGGACTGCTCCTGCCGTCACTCTCTTTTAGTACTTTCATCGCCTGCTCCGCTTCTATTTTGGCCTTTTCCTCCATTTTTTCTTCCCGTTCCCGTCCGTTCTTTTCCCCCACTTTCTCTTCCTGACTTTGTGTGGCCCCTTCATCCTTTGTGTTATTTCTTCTCTCTACCTCTTCTTCTTTTTCGTTTTGATCCTTCTCCCCTCCTTCTTCTCTCTCCACCCTTGTGGTATTTTCATCCCGCGCCTTTTCTTCTCCCTCCACTTCCTTTTTCCCATCTTCTTCTTTGGTACTTTTCTCTTCTTCGTCCTCTTTTTGTTCTTTTTCTTCGGATGGCCTCTGCGCCTCACCTCCTCCCTCTTTTGCATCTGAGGGCTGCTTTTCGGCCTCACTCCTCTTTTCTTCAACCGGCCCCTCCTGTACCAGAGGCGGATATTCTTTTTTTGCTTTTGCTTTTTCCTCCTCCACTTTTTTAGCGAAGTCGTCCAATATCGTACCCACCGTTTTTATAAGTTCATCTCTTTCGGGTTCTTTTGTATTCATTACTCGCGTCGCGTCATCTCCCAAAGACTGCTTGAGGGCATCCATTTTTTTTTTCATGGATTCGACGAACGTCCATTGTTTTTCGAGTTCTTTCTGCGCGGTTGTGCATCTCTCACTGAGGTCACTTAACGCCTGCTTTGCTTTATCGGCTTTTTCCACGAGGTTCTTTCCTTCCGGCGTTTGGTCATTTAGTTTCAAAAAACGCTCATGAACCTTATCGTATTTCTCCTTACCTTTAACCAAGTAACCCAAATCCCCTGAACAATTTTTTTGCATTTGAAATACGTGATTGATCGAAAATGACACGTCGTCATAATTCTTTTTGTCTAACTGCATTCTTTCCTTATTTTTCTTTATCCAATCCGTTTTCACTTCTCCCCTATCTGCTAATCCCTCGATCTCTTCAACAAGACCCGTGAGATCTTTCAGAATAGCTTCGGCACGCTCAGTATTTTCCTTGCGCAATTCCATCTCCTGCCCTATCACAGTCAAACAACCAGTCATATTCACAATGTGCTCATACGCCTCGGTTACCGTCTTTTTAAACGACTCCTTATCCACCACTCCCTCTTCAATTAATTTGACGTCTGAAGAATCCTGCCCATCACCACCCGAACTCGCCGCACTTGCCACACACACACAATGCAGAAGCACCAACAGGTACACCACGCGGCGCAGTTGGATGAACATCGTTGTCATGATTATCACTGTGGATTGCTCGGTTCTGTGGTAACAAGGAAAAAGAGAAAGAAGAAAAAGAAGGAAAAAAGAGACGCACGTTTAACATATTGACAAACAACAGCAACGCAGAGGGAAAAACAAAGAGAGTACACAAAACGACGTCAATCAAACCACTCACACAAAACAGGCAATCAATCTTACCAATTGACAAAAAAAACAAATACACCCCGGGTTCCTTCCGGATGTCAAAACAACACCCCCAATCACGAATACAAAAAAAACCACAATAAAAAAAGAAACAACACCATGGGAATTTACCTACAGATCCCAGTTATCCCACTCGGCAATAATATACAATGTGCCTGACTATCTTTCACCGATAGCGTAACCTCATTGCTCGAATGGTCGCGGCATCCCCCAAAAAACTGGTATAAGACCACTGAGGAGATACCAGCAAACACAGGACACCATCTCACGAAACAGTACTCAAGGATCTCCCCCATATGAACGTTAAATGTAACACTGCAACCCATCAACCATCACAACATCCACACGTCAAATTCCCTGTAGTTTCAACACGGGCGCACTCAACATCGGCACCCCTTACTGCAAAGAACCGCACGGACGGTTTTCACCATCCCCCATGAGCTCATGAACACATCACAATGATGAGTGTCTACTGTGCGCACACGTTCATTACACACGCCCGTCTCCCGCTCCTCTTTGTGTGTATTGGATCCGTGGCGCATATCAAAAATACACGAGTGACCCAGTCGGAAATAGAACCTCCAAACACCACGAGATCACAGGAACCATTAGGTGAACAACCGCAGGTCAAATTCGTACGACACCACACGAAATCGCACATCACTTTCATAATCCCGAAAACCGTGGACAACCACCATTGCATGGGATGTGAAAACACAGTTGCGGGAGAAAAAAAAAAGATGTACATCATCAACAATATTCGGAATGAACACACGACCCCGGGGCACAAGGCCCGGTGAAAAGTTCACCTGCACGCCATAAAAGCCAACAAATAAGTGAAGTAAACGTGCCAAAACAAATCACCCACACCCAAAACAAAAATCCCTGAGAACCAAAGGGACGGAAACACACACCAAACACAGATGTCCCCCGCCCCAAGGAAACACCATATCTCCGACCACACACCTGGCCGCAAAGGAATTCTTTGGTGACTGAACTCGCGCAATTCCCACATTAAACCACGACAGAAATAAAACACCAAACACCGACAGAGATGACGAACCCCCGCCACGAGGGCAATCCAGGGGCAAACGACTGCGAGACCCCACAAAGTTCGACCAGAGAAACATTTACAGACGCCGATAACGAGTAACACCTCCTCCCCCACTTTTCAAACAAAGTACTTGAAGAAACACCACCCTCTCCAAATACGCGGTTAATCCACGAACACGACACCGACGAAGAAACCAAACACCACCTCCAAAGACGGTCCAAGTAACACCACACATAAGAGAGCAATAAATACGCAAAAAGAGAGGCCTACAAGACGTCCACCAGCTATTTTGGCGCACACACAAATGAGGGCACTCCATAAACAACAACACACGTATCAGAACCCACACAACCAAGAACTGTGGTATTGTTTGTTTGTAGTTCGTTTGCATTAGCACTGCTCGCAATACAATGTTGTTCGCATCTCCAACGCCACAAACAACGTTCATGAAAATAAACTCCTTGGACGAGCACGAAAACGACGGGACACATTCCCGCTACCGCTGCAGCGATTACGGACACAGATCATATCCCCAACTCCAAATGTCCTCCCACTCTCTTTCCTCCATAATTTTATTTAGGAGGGTAATATCAAACATATCCCCTTTCCACCCCTCCACCCATGGGACCCCGTATCATCATGGATTTGTTTTTTATTTTTGTTCTTCACGTCTTGACGGATATTACTCCAATGGTACGGCTATCAACCGTACACCGTAGAGCACCTTAATTACCGACTTAGGAGTGGCTCCGAAGAAGAAGATCCCTTCATTTTATAGGATCCTCAAGCCCTTGTAATATGATTTTTGGTTGTAGCCCGTTCCCAAACGAAAGAACCAGTCTACGAGAAATCTGATCGAGTAAACCCCACCAGATCTCTCTACTCTCACTTTTCTTACCCAGATCCCGTCCTCAAGTCTCCTTTTGTTATTATTTTATTTTGTTATTTTTGGGGTTTTTATAATAGATTACCCTCAATGAACTCCTATTTATTTTGTTGTTTGTTTTGGTCAGTGACAGACGTCTTGAGCTTACTCTTCTATCAGGGTTTCCATATTCAAGCTCGTCGCTGATTATAGAGAGGTGGGGAGGCCTTACAGAGGGGGAAGGGTAGGCTGCGTAGGGTTTATTGGTTGTGAAAACTCTGGCATAGTGTCGTTCCGCTCCACCGCAATAAGGAACTGTGCTAACCGCTTAGAAAAACATAGTTTCATCAGGGGTACGTCATCAACTATCGCAAATTGATCTCGCAGTGGCTGAATAGCGGGGCAACTCAAGAGGTGCAGAGCTGTTTCTTCGCATTCGTCGCGTTGACTGGTGTGCGCGCGAATAGGTTGATACCCGTGACGTGACATTCGGTGTAGAGTTAGGCCTGATTTACTCATACATTGGTGACCACACGTGGGACAGACTAATGCCGGAAGGTCTCTCGTTTTTGTTGTTTTGTATTTTGCATTGGTGGAATTCGATTTTTTGTGGCATACCTTGTCCTTCACGGAATTTTCTGCAGTGTATTACGAGGGAGGCTAGGTGGGCGTAGAACTTCTGGCATGCTCCGCATTGGACTTTTTCTCTGTCCTCACGCTCCGGTGTCGACGAATTTCGCTGGCGTTTCTTATTTCGTGGAAACGTTACTTGTATTGTTGCTTGCAGGATTGGAGTTCCAGGTGGATGTTTAAACTTTTTGTGGCATGCGAGACCACTAATGTTGCCAAAGTCGCGGAGACAAAATTCGCATCGTAGTGAAGCAGGCTGTGGGATGAGCTGAGGGCGAGGTGCGTCCTTCGTGGGGTTCTCAGGATGTTTTGCTCTAATATGGGATTTAAGGTCTGTTTTAGGGCGCGCTATCATATCACATTTGTCACAGGGAAATGCTGATTCCTCTGATGGTATTGATTCGTTGGCTCGCGGCTGTTTTCTCTCTGGGACAGGGCATGTGACGTTGTGCATGTATCTAAGGTGGCGTGTTAATCCGTTTTGAAGCGGAAATGTTCGTTTACACATATTGCAGGCAAACGGATGAGGTTTTGCTTTAGGGCGAAGTGGGACGGGGTAACGTTGTGTCCGGAGGTGGGGGTTGTGAAGGTGGCGGGGGTTCTGGCGGGATGTCCGGCGGAGGTGGCTCATGTGGGAATTTGATCTTCCAGAGCGCATTGGTTCTCTTGAACCCATGTGTTTGTTGACCATATGTACTACTGCGGTGTTCCTGCATGAGTATTGTGCCCCGCATTCAGTGCAGGTGGCAGGTTCCGTTGCTTTGTTTAGTGCATAGTGCGGTCGTTTTTGGCCAGTTGGAATAACGGGTGTCGGCGTATTGACTTGTTTTAGGTCCTATAAAATAAAGGGATCTTCTTCATCGGAGCCACTCCTAAGCCAGTAACCAGGTGCTCCACGGCGTAAGGCTGATAGCCGTACCATTGGAGTAATATCCATAAAGACACGAAGAACAAAAAACAATAAAAAGAACGCAAGTATTAAAAAGAAAAATAAAAAGAATTTGGTTTTTAAGGAGACCACCCACTTCAAACATTTAGTTGGTGAGTTTGGTTTCCTTGTATAAATTCATCTGCTTAACCTTGGTACCATATGAAGGCCGCCCTCATTGCTAAGGCCATATTGGTTTAAAACCCCGCCCACGGCGGCCACCCCAACCCAACCCATGGGAGGCAGAGGCCCACAGCCAGAGCGCAACGCGCGGTGTCGCAAACAAAAGCGCAACCACCACCAGCACATGTAGAAAACACAAATCACAACGGCAAGAACCAGATGGCGCGCCTGGCACCCCCCACAAAAAATACAGGGGTGGGGGTCCAACCCCGCCACACGGACAAGTCCGAGACGGCCCTGGACACCGCCTAACTCCACCAAGGCGGAGCAGCACTACGACACAGAGGCTACGAACGACCAAAAGAAGAATAAAACCCAATAGAACGCCAAAATAGCAGAGGCGCAACTATTGTAGAGGCCGCCTGCTTCGGCCAGAAAACCGCCACCCCACCCCGGCACCACCAGCTGGCCAAAGTTGTGACAGAAGGCGGCGGCGACCCACCAGGCCGGCACAACCCAAAACCTACAAGGGTTAGCTTGTGTGCGAAAAATGTGCCCCAATACCACCGTAACGAGGCCCAGTAGAGCACGGAGGCTGGAAACGCACGGCACTCGCAAAACTGAAAATTCACCCCTGGAGGTGGGGCTGGGAAGGGCACCCCGGAGACCACCCCCACGGGAGCATAATATGTTCTTTTGCGGGTATTTCGGGTACGACCATACTCGGCCGAATGCACCATATCCCGTCCGATTTGTGAAGTTAAGCGGCCACAGGCCTCGTCAGTACGGCGATCAGTGATGGTACTGGAACCCGGGGTGCCGTACCCTCCTCAATTTTTTTTTTTGCCACCATCTTGGGGTAGGTGCCGTGGACCTCTGATGCCAACCACGGCTCGCCTTTGGCAATGAGGGCTTGTCTAATCTTGGCGTCCAGCTTACGCACTTCCATCCCTCCAGGGAAACCAAACATACTTCACCCATTGTTGCGGTGGGGTGCCAACAAACCAAAATACCTATGAGGCGAAATGTTCCTATTGTACTTATTTTTCTTTTTCTGCATTTCCCATGGATTTCCTTTTCACACCACACATGGCAGTAGCGGAACGCCTTATCATCACCATAGCGGAATTTGCCTTTATCATAGGGAAGGGCCCACCACACCCTCATGTTCTTTGTTCATGGTGTGGCCATCCAACAGCACCTTTTATTCGGTGGGACGCGGCACCATGATGTCACGAGGGGAACGGGGAAGGGTCATCTTTGCGGAATACCTTTCAAACCCATCTTACCCAGCGTTGAAGTAGGGAAAGCAAGAGTTTTCCACTATGCCCAACCCCACTCATTTCATAAGTGAAAAACCCCAAGGAGCCACACCCCTCTTCTTCTTGTTGCGCACAAGACGCTGACAAGCTGGCCGCCCGCCCTGGGTTTTGTAGGTGTTGTGTGTTCTCTCCTCTCCCTTCTTGGGGTGAGGGATAAAAAAAAAAGAAAAGGGCAAACCCGACAACGAGCCTCGAGCATTGCGCACGTAGACTGGTTGCCGGGTTTCATCCCTTTTTTTCCTCATCCTCACTCTTCTTCTTTTTCTCTCAAGTTCAAAGTCCCCGAGGATGATATTTCAGGCCTCAAGGTTCAGCGCCTCGGGACGTAAAGTGCCCCTCGAGCCCCGCCGAAGCGAAGCATGCCGCACACACACACCCCACAGACGCCGCAATGGAGTGGTCCAGCAACACAACGGTGTCCTTCCCACTCACAATGACAGTCTCACATGCTCATGTCAGAGAGACTCTACGGCATTCACTAAAATGTACACCAAGTCACACACCTACAGAGAGGAAAAGAAAATCACAAGAAAAGAACAACAACAACAACAGGATACCAACAGCACACAAAGCACTCACAATACAATAATCACAGCTGTCACTCTCATCAGAGAAAAACATTCACCCACACCAGCACATCAACTCAACCCCAAAAATAAAAAAAAAAAACAGACCCATTACGTGAAGCCGAAGCGGAACGGTCTCAGTCCATCTCCCCGCAGGCTGCAGTCACTCAAGCAAGCCACACAACAAACAACACACACCACAAGGGCAGAAGTATGTTCCTGACAATACCGTGTGAGTGACAACACCGAGAGAGAAGGTGAGAACAAAGAAATGTGTTCTTATTACGTGGGCGGTGTGAGTGGCAACCCAAACACACAAAGGAACACACAACAGATGGACACACTCAAACACCTACAACCCACCAATCTTTATACCAAAATAAAAATGCAGAAAAAAAGAGTGACTGCGTGAGGCAGACACAATAATAGAGCAAAGATGTAAAAGAAAAAAAAAAGAAATTCATTACTTAATGTGGCTGCGATGCCTGGACACAGTCCAATTCACCCCAAGGTTAATAACGGAAAATCATTGTGTACTGAACGTGCCGTGCCCATATCTTTATTCTTGATGTCCCTGCAGCAGTTTGTATATAATGAAAAAAAAAATCATCCCATAAAAATGAACACACAAGATACACAAGGTGTATAGGAAACGCAAAAGAGAAACACACAGATGCTCATAACGTGCAATGAAATTATAATGGAAAACACACACAAGGGAAAAACAATATAATGAAAACAAAACAAATAAAAACACCCTTACAATGCATCCATATCCACTCAAACAAGGGTTAACTGTGCAACTGTGTCATGGGAACACCGATCAACACACGAGAGTGCAGCCCAACACAGAGAGCACAAGAAGAATCAAGGAACTGTGCACCAATGAAGGACTGCTGCTGCTGTCAGCACCTTGCATTGCCTTTATTTCTTGCACCACATCTATTTGGGGCTTCTTTGAATCTTCATCATTTGACTCACCCCTGACATTTTCTTCATTACTTTGTTTGTCCTCTTCCTTTCCTGGATTTTTCACCTCCGCCTTTTCCTCTTCACCCATTCTCTTTTTCTCATCCTCTATGTTATTTTCCTTCTCCGCCCTTTCCTCCTGAGTCTCTTTCTTTTTCTCTTCTTCCTTTATGGCATCTTTCCCATCCGCCGGTCCTTTCTCCGTCTCCTCCTTCCTTTCCTCCTGTTCCTTTTCTTCTGTCTCTTGCGCCTCCTTTTGAACCCTTTCTTTCTCTTCTGGTTTCGTTGGCACTTTCTCTCCAACCCTTCTCTCTTTTTCTCCTTCACCTAGCACCTCCTGTACCTCAGGCGGCAATGCTTTTCTTGCTTTTGCCTTTTCTTCGTTCAGCTCCCTAGTAACGTCACCACTTCTCTCCTCACCTCTTTTGATTAGTTCATCCTGATTCATGCTTTTTGGATCAATTACGGGATCCGTGATATTTCCCAAATGCCCCTTGAGGGCTTCCACTGCTTCTTCCGCGACACCCAAGAATTCCGCCATCTTATCATACGGTGCGTGTTTATCACGCGCAGCTTCGATTTTTTTGTCGAGGTTGGTCAAAGCCTGCAGTACCTCATTGCTGCTCTCGTTAAGCACTTTTATTTCCGGCTTTTCGAGCGGTTTGTCCCGATGTGCTTCCAAAAAACGCTTTTGAGCCTGAACGAGTTTCTCCTTTACATTCCCGTCCACAGGCCTCTCCCTACACAACCTTCTCAACACTTCTACGTCTGTGGTTGAAAATGTTACTACATCAAATTCTTTTGTGTATTCTTCTATCTTCTGCCTTTTTTCCTTTATCCACACATCTGGCTTCCAATTTTTTTCATCTTTTGCTTTCTCGATCTCTTTAACAAGAGCCCCGAGATTCCCTGCAACAGCCTCAGCACGCCCGATATTTTCCTTGCATGATTCCATTTTTATTTCTAACGCAGACGAACAACCAGTCATATTCACAACGTACTCATACGCCTCTGTTATCGTCCTCCTCAACTCCTGATCAACCTCTACTACTCCAGCTGTATCAAAGGTTGAGGAACCCTCTTCACCACCACCTTCATTCGCCGCACATGCCACACACACACAACACTGCAAAAATACCAATAGGTACACCACACGGCGCAGTTGGATGAACATCGTTGTCATGATTGTCACCGTGAGTTGCTTGGATCTATGGTGACAAGAAAAAAAAGAAGAAAAAAAGGGAGAAAAGAGACGCACATTTAACACAATGAGAAACAACAGCAAAGTAGAGGGAAATATAAAGAGAGTACACAAAACAACGTCAATCAAACCACTCACACAAAACAGGCAATCAATCTTACCAATTGACAAAAAAAACAAATACACCCCGGGTTCCTTCCGGATGTCAAAACAACACCCCCAATTACGAATACAAAAAAAACCACAATAAAAAAAGAAACAACACCATGGGAATTTACCTACAGATCCCAGTTATCCCACTCGGCAATAATATACAATGTGCCTGACTATCTTTCACCGATAGCGTAACCTCATTGCTCGAATGGTCGCGGCATCCCCCAAAAAACTGGTATAAGACCACTGAGGAGATACCAGCAAACACAGGACACCATCTCACGAAACAGTACTCAAGGATCTCCCCCATATGAACGTTAAATGTAACACTGCAACCCATCAACCATCACAACATCCACACGTCAAATTCCCTGTGGTTTCAACATGGGCGCACGCAACATCGGCACCCCTTACTGCAAAGAACTGCACGGACGGTTGTCACCACCCCCCCATTAGCTCATGAACACAACACAAGAATGTGTGTCTACTGTGCGCACACATTCATTACACACGCCCGTCTCCCGCTCCTCTTTGTGTGTATTGGATCCGTGGCGTATATCAAAAAATACACGAGTGACCCAGTCGGAAATAGAACCTCCAAACACCACGAGATCACAGACACCATTAGGTGAGCAACCTCAGACTAAATTCGTGCGGCACCACCTGAAACCGCACATCACCTTGACAATACCGAAACCCGTGGACAATCACTATTGCATGGGATGTGAAAACACACTTGCGAGAGGAAAAGAAAGATGTACATCATCAATAGTATTCGGAATGAACACGCGACCCCTGGGGCACAAAACCCGGCGAAAAGTTCACCTGGACGCCGTAAAAGCCAACAAATAAGTGAAGTAAACGCGCCAAAACAAATCACCCACACCCCTTCACCAAAATCCCTGAGAACCAGGGGGACGGAAACACACACCAAACACAGATATCCTCCTCCCCAAGGAAACACCATATCTCCGACCACACACCTGGTCGCAAAAGAATTCTCTGGTGACTGAACTCGCTCAACTCCCACATTAAACCACGACAGAAATAAAACACCAAACACCGACAGAGATGACGAACCCCCACCACGAGGGCAATCCAGGGGCAAACGACTGCGAAACCCCACAAAGTTCGACTAGAAACATTTACAGACGCCGATAACGAGTAACACCTCTTCCCCACTTTTCAAACAAAGTACTTGAAGAAACACCACCCTCTCCAAATACGCGGTTGATCCACGAACACGACACCGACGAAGACACCTAACACCACCTCCAAACAGGGTCCAACAAATACCATACATAAGAGAATAATAAATACGCAAAAAGAGAGACCTACGAGACGTCCACCAGCTATTTTGGCACACACACACACACACACAAATGAGCGCACTCCATAAACAACAACACACGTATCAGAACCTACACAATCAAGAACTGTGGCATTGTTTGTTTGTAGTTCGTTTGCATTAGCACTGCTCGCAATTCAATGTTGTTCCCACCTCCAACGTCACAAACAACGTTCATGAAAATACACCCCTTGCACGAGCACGAAAACGACGGGACATTCCCGCTACCGCTACAGCGAATACGGAGACAGATCATCCCCAACTCTAAATGTCCTCCCACTCTCTTTCCTCCATAATTCTATTTAGGAGGGTAATATCCAACATATCCCCTTCCATCCCCCCACACACCACACCACGTTTTTCTTTCTGTTCTTCGTGTCTTAATGGATATTACTCCAATGGTACGGCTGATAGCCGTACACCGTAGGGCATCTTAATTGCCGACTTAGGAGTGGCTCTGAAGAGGAAGATCTCTTCATTTTATAGGATCCTCAAGCTCTTGTAATATGATTTTTGGTTGTAGCCCGTTACCAAACGAGAGAACCAGTCTACGAGAAATCTGATCGAGTAAACTCCACCAGATCTCTCTACTCTCACTTTTCTTACCCAGAACCCGTCCTCAAGTCTCCTTTTGTTATTTTGGGTTTTTTTTTTTTTTTTTNAAACGGGGACACATGCCCTTGCGAACACGCGCCACCTCCCGTGGAGACGGGGTTGCCGCCATAAAATCCCAAACCTAGACGGTGCATAGCCCACAGACTACGCGAAACCCATTCTTCTCTTCATTCGATAAGTGAAGCAACGTTCCGAGTGGTGGTATTTCATTTGTGCTCGCGCTTCCACCTATACTACACCTCAGATGTCGCCGCACAGAGCCAGACTGGAGTCAAACTCAACAGGGTCTTCTTTCCCCGCTTAGCCCTTCAAGTCCGCTCCCTTGACTGTCGTTTCGCTAGATAGTAACTCGGGACAGAGGGAATCTCATTAATCCATTCATGTGCGTGGACCAGCGTAAAGGTGCCACACCTCCACTCCAGTCGCTCACACACATGTCGGTGGATATCGCCACGCCGTCATTCAGTGCACCCCACAGTCGCCGCAGTGGAGCGGTCCAGCAACACAAAGTGTCCTTCCCACTCACAGTGCACACACACACAATGACAGTCTCACATTCTCATATCAGAGAGGCACTGCGGCAATTCACTAAAATGTACACGGAGTCACACACCTACAGAGAGGAAGAGAAAAACACAAGAGCAGCAGAGGAGAAAGAACAACAACAACAGGATACCAAAAGCACACAAAGCACTCACAATACAATAATCACAGGTGTCACTCCCATCAGAGAAAAACATTCACCCACACCAGCACATCAACTCAACCCCAATACAAAAAGAAAAAAAAAACAGACCCATTACGTGAAGCCGAAGCGGAACAGTTTCACTCCACCTCCCCGCAGGCTGCAGTCACTCAAGCAAGCCACACAACAAACAACACAAGGGCACAAATATCTCCGTGGCAATGCCGCGTGAGTGACACCACCGAGAGAAAAGGTGAGAACAAAGAAATGTATTTTCATTACGTGGGCGGTGTGGAGTGGCAACCCAAACACACAAAGGAACACACAACAGAAAAAGACTCAAACACCTACAACCCATCGATCTTTATACCAAAATAAAAATGTAGTGAAGAAAGAGTGACTGCGTGAGGCAGACACAATAATAGAGCAAAGATGTAAAAGCAAAAGAAATCCATTACTTACTGTGGCTGCCATGCCTGGACACAGTCCAATCCACTCCAGGGTGAACAACGGCAAAACAATTGTGTACCGGGACGTGCCGTGCTCATATCTTTATTTTTGATGTCCGTGCAGCAGTTTGTATACAATGAAATACAAGATTAATTCCATAAAAATGAACACACAAGACACACAAGGTGTATTGGAAACGCAAAAGAAAAACACACAGCTGCACATAATGTGCAATGAAATTATAATGAAACACACACACAGAAGGGAAAAACAGTAAAATGAAAACAAAACAAAAAGAAAGCCGTGATCACCATGTGAATATCTTCAGGAGGCAATAACACAATTCCCAACAGTAGGTGTGTGTGTCTTTCGTACAGGGCGAGGAGTGGGAATGATGCACACATAATGACAGTCCACACACACACACACAAAGAGAAGGAAGGTTGGTAGTGTGCGTGTTTGCGTGTCTTGAACCTCCTGCCATTCTTCACACTTCAGTCACAGCAATTAAAACACATTGGGATTGTATTCCATTCCCATGGGTAAAAACAATAGTCAGTGATACCACGGAACATACACACACATCACCAGGAGGACACAGTAAATGGCGGCAAAACAGAGCCCAGATAATAATGCCAACAAACAAAGAGGACACTCCCCTCACAAAATAATGGTTTGTCACGTGATGAGTACCATAGGGAGTCCAATGGATTTGTTCACCAAGAAAGTGCAAACAAGAGATTTATCGAACTGAAAAAAAAAACGTTGAAATTCAATAAAAAAGAACAGCACCCTTACAATGCATCCATATCCACTCAAATAAAGGTTAACTGTGCAACTGTGTCACGGGAACACCGATCAGCACACAAGAGCGCAACCCAACACACACAACAGAATCAACAACAAGGAACTGTGCACCAATGCAGGACTGCTGCTACCATCCTTACTCTTGGCCTTCTTGGCTTTTTCCTCAGCCATCCTCTTTGCCTTCTCTTCCTCAACGGCCTTCCTCGCCTTTTCGTCCAATGCCCTCCTCTCTTCCTCCTCTCGGGCCTTCTGCTCTCTATTTCTGGCTTCCCTCTCCCGCTCTTCTTTGGCCCGTCTTATCTTCTCCTGTTCTTTGGCCAGTCTTATCTTCTCCTGCTCGGCCTCCCTTTTTCTCTCTTCCTCGGCCCTTTTTCTTTCCTCGGCCTTCCTCCTCTCGTCCTCAGCAACCCTTTCCACATCCGCCTCCACACGTCTGACCTCCACCGCACTCGCCTTTTCAATTCTGTCGTTGACCTCCTTGACGGCCTTCTCCCCCCTGGCTTTCGTCTCGTCAACTGATCCGTTGACAAGGCGTTCAATCGTCTGCCTCCGTTCTTCGACTTCCCCCTTTATTGCTTCAAGTTCCCCTTGCTTTCCCCCCACAACAGGCTCCACATCTTTCATTCCCCCAACGAGCTCGATGAGTTCGAACGCCCTTCTCCAGGCTTTTACCCGATCCTTGGCCTCCCCAACCGCAAACCTGTTATGTACTGTTGCATTGGCGATAATGTTTGTGACATTGTGCAATACCTCGCGCACACCGTCTCCCGCATTCTTTACTTCCACCGCTGTTCTACTTTTGACAAATTCCCCTCCAGAAGTGAAATTGAGAGCCTCAAGATGCTTGTCCAGTTCTTGCAGACGGTATTTCACGTTTCTGTCCACGATCGTACAGAATAGTCTTGTCTGCTCCGCCTCCTCAATCTTAGATAACGCCACCGCATCTGGTACCTTGCCCTTTGTCTCTCGCAGTACCTCCCGTATCTCCCCTACCAGTTTCCAAAACTCATCATCCCGGGTCGTTATCTTCAATCGAAGTATTTTTTCTTTTTCTTTGCCGTCCCCCTTCACCCAGTCCTCCTTCATTATGGCGTCGACGTCTTTGATCAGCTTCGTAATCTTTTTGGTGTCTTCCGCGGCATCCTCAACCATTTTCTTGTTCGCTGCAATCACCTTTTCCCACTCGGCCGCACAAGTCGTTCCATTCGCAAAAAGAACATCCGAACCGTTGACTGCCATGATCACATTCCATGCTGCCATCCAAAAACCTTCATACACGTTCTTTAAACTTTCATCGTCTTTGATTTCATCGCGTGTGCGATTTGGAATCCCCCAGAACGCCCTCATGGCCTTTTCACGATTTATTTCTACCACTGCACCACCACCAGTCACACCCTGATCTGCACCCTTCGTTTCTTGAGCGTGAACCGTACACAACCAACAAAGCAGGAGTGCCAACGGGAACACCACACGGCGCAGTTGGATGAACATCGTTGTCATGATTGTAACCGTGAGTTGCCTGGATTTATGGTAACAAGGAAGAAGAGGAAAAGGAGAAAAGAGACGCACATTTAACACACAAGGTAGAGGGTACACAACACAGAGAGAAAGAGAGAAAGAATACACACCACAACAGCAATCAAACAACAACCCAATGAGGGGAATTACAGCAAACCACTCACACAATAAAACACACCCAGAGTTACACAGATATTGAAACAACACCTTGAATTTAGAAGAAGTGGAAAACAAATGGTATCAAAACAATATTAAATAAACGTCTCTACACACTCCAATATCTTATTCGGTATTCATACACAAAGTGTGTCTGTATTCTCATTATAATAAAACCATTACCAGGCAGTTTGAACACCAAAATACACCAAAAACACGGTGTACGCCCGGCAACATACAAAAACAATACCACAAATCATCAGCAAAACAAAGAGACTGTACAATAATCAACACACACTTCCAAAGGGAAGAAGAAAAAAAACCAATACATCACCATAATATTTATACCAACACCACAATTGGAATCCAAAACCCACTCACTCACAACCACAACAAAAATGACTGCATACATCACTGCAATACCATGCCACTCTTTACAAACAGAATCACCACACAATTATTCTCTCACACACACATATTACCTCTTTATTTATCCTTATTACTATTGTTTTATTTTCTCCTCAGAATGCCGGTTCGCTCCCTCTTCTTCTCCCACAGCATTATCGGCAAAAAAAAAATCACACCCAAACATACACCCCCTTAATCCACGATGTAAATTGGGAGGGTAATATCAAACATATCCCTTTCCACCCAAAAAGGACCCCACACACCACACTACCACGTTTTACTTTCTTTTCTTCGTGTCTTTATGGATATTACTCCAAAGGAACGGCTATCAACCGTACACCGTAGAGCATCTTAATTACCGACTTACGAGTGGCTCCGAAGAGGAAGAAGATCCCTTCATTTTATAGGATCCTCAAGCTCTTGTAATATGAGTTTTTGTTGTGGCCCGTTCCCATACGAGAGAACCAGTCTAAGAGAAATCTGATCGAGTAAACCCAACCAGATCTCTCTACTCCCACTGTACTTACCCAAAACCCGTCCTCAAGTCTCTTTTTTGTTATTATTTTTGTTATTTTGGGGTTTTCTATAATAGATTGGCCTCAATGAACTCCTATTTATTTTGTTGCTTCTTTGGTCGGCGACAGGCGCCTTGAGCGTACTCTTCTATCAGGGTTTCCATATTCGAGCTCGTCGCTGATTTTAGAGAGGTGGGGAGGTAGGCTGCGTAGGGTTTCTTGGTTGTGAAGACTCTGGCATAGCGTAGTTCCGCTCCACCGCAATAAGGAACTTTGCTAACAGCTTAGAAAAACATAGTTTCTTCAGGGGTATATCATCAACGATGGCAAATCGAACTCGCAGTGGATGAAGAGCGGGGCAACTCAAGAGATGCAGAGCTGTTTCTTCGCATTCGTCGCGTTGGCTGGTGTGCGCGCGAATGGGTTGATACCCGTGTCGTGACATTCGGTGTAGAGTTAGGCCTGATTTACTCACACACATTGACGACCGCATGAGGGACAGACAAATACCGGAAGGTCTCGTGTTTTTCCTGCCTTGTATTTTGCCGTGATGGAATTCGTTTTTTGGGGCATACCTTGCCCTTCATGGAATTTTCTGCAGTGGATGGCGAGGGAGTCTAGGTGGGCGTAGAACTTCTGGCATACTCCGCATTGGACTTTCTCTCTGTTCTCACGTTCCGGTGATGGCGACGTATCTCGTTGGCGTTTCTTATTGCGCGGAAACGTTACTTGTATTGTTGCCGGCAGTATTGGAGTTCCAGGTGGATGTTTAAACTTTTTGTGGCATGCGAGACCACCAATGTTGCCAAAGTCACGTAAACAAAATTCGCAGCATAGTGAAGCAGGTTGAGGGATGAGTTGGGTGCGAGGTGCGTCTTTTTGGGTGCTCGCGATGGTTAGCTCTAATATGGGCTTTGAGACCTGTTTTAGATCGCGCTATCATATCACATTTGTCACAGGGAAATGCTGATTCTTCTGCCCGTATCGGTTCGTTGGCTCGCGGGCGTTTTCTCTCTGGGACAGGGCATGTGACATTGTGCATGTATCCGAGGTGGCGCGTTAATCCATTTTGAAGCGGAAATGTTCGTTTACACATACTGCAGGCAAACGGGTGTGGTTTTGCTTCAGGGCGAAGTGGGATGGGGTAACGTTGTGTCCGGAGGTGGGGGTTGTGGGGGTGGCGGAGGTTCTGGCGGGATGTCCGGCGGAGGTGGCTCATGGGGGAATTTGATCTTCCAGAGCGCATCGGCTCTCTCGAACCCATGTTTGTTGATCATATGTAGTACTGCGGTGTTCCTGCATGAGTATTGCGCCCCGCATTCAGTGCAGGTGGCGGGGTCTGTTGCTTTGTTTAGTGCATAGTGCGGTCGTTTTTGGCTTGTTGGAATAACGGGTACTGGCATGTCAATTTGTTGGGGATTACACCAGCGACAACCAGGAGGGAATATGGGTTTGTATCTTTCGCAGCAACCAGCCATAGCAATGCGAAGCGCCTGTGTGAAAATGTGCTAGGGCTGTTTCTTCTTCTCTAGTAAGTTCCGGGTTCACTTTGGCGGGGTTCCAGGATCCCGTGATTTTTGATCTATGGGAGGGAGGGGGTGTACCCTCTCCTTTAAGTATTCGTTTGGCGTAGGCTATTATATCTGTGATCCACATATCAGTTCTTTGTGGTAGTTCTGCAGCTTTTTTGGCCTCTGTGTCACATTGTTCATTTTTCACTACTCCGCAGTGACCAAAGATAAATTGTAGTCGAATGCGGGCCTTGCGACGTTGTACTTGAAGTATTAGGTTCCACAGGAGTCGTAGTATTGGGTCTTTTACAGTCAGTGGACCTGTTTCTAGTGCCGTGAGAAGCGACAGTGAGTCCGTGAAAATGGAGACCCTGCAGGGCGTTTGGTTGTTTGCGGGAATTATTTTGAGGAGTCTCCGTAAACCTTCGTACGGCGCTGCGGATTCAGTTGTGTAGCTGCAAGCTAGGGGTCCAGCGCCTCTATGTGTGGTACAGAGCAGTTCACCATCTTTGTATATCATTGCTGCTGCTCCAGATTTTACTCCGAGAAATACGGAGCCATCAGTCCAAATTTCATAATGGGTACGCGGCGGTGGTTCTGTGCCTTTACGGCGGAAGTGACGGGCTATCCAACGCTCGGATGCCTCTCTTTTCCGTTCTTCAGGGTCATCAGCTGATACATTTTCCAGCGATGTGAAGAAGCGAGCGCGTTTACCAAACCGTAGCGTTGGTGTCAGTAGAGGTGGGCTCGCGTGGCTCTATAACGAGTGTTGGATAGATTTTCATGATGCGTACATAAAATTCTCGTACTGGATGGGTTTCGTGATAGACTTGTTCTGCGCTTTCTTTGAGGGATCCACCTCGTGTTTGGCATCGCATTAAATATTTGAGGCTCCGAATCATGGCCATCATCTCTAATGGGAGAAGACGGGCTTCACGTAATGCGTCGGCGGAGCGACATCCATAGGGGATACCCGCTATGGTTCGGCAAGCTTTGTTCTGACCTGCATCTAGGGGTTTGCGTGAAGTGGGAGCCGCATCCCAATACCAGATCTCAAAGCGTAGAGCGTCTGGGCTTGAACTAGTGTCAGGTAGAAGGTTCGAAGGACATCACGTTTTGGTCCCCATGTGGTGGAGGAGATTGCTGCAAGTTTTAGTAATCGAAAATTCATGCGTTGTCTCGTTTGAACTACATGGGTAGACATGGCACGGTAGTTTTGGAATGTGATGCCTAAGAGTTTAGGTGCCTTCTCCGGGCCTACGGGGATACCGCGTAGTTTAAGAGAAAGGGGATTCGGGTCGGAGGTACCAAAAAGTGTGTATTTCGTCTTGCCCACATCAATGTCCATAAAATAGTTTGTGGACCATTCGTCCAATATGTTTAGTCCTTGTTGCAGTGTACTGTTTATGATGTCTCCGTTGACGCGTCGTACTGCTAGCGTAAGATCATCAGCGAAAAATATCCATGAAAAAATAAGTAAACCTACGATAATCGTTTGACTAGGGTGTTCATGACGATAATGAACATAAGTGGGACGAGGACTGTTCCTTGTGGTACGCCACGGTGGAAAAGCATTAAAGGAGAGGATTTACTGTTTACTCGCACTTTGGCTTGGTGTCCTTTCAGGAAAGATGCAGACCATCGAATGATGTGCGGTGGGATATCCATCTCTCACATCGCACTAACTATTCGATCATGGTCTACAGTATCGAAGGCTTTGGCGTAGTCTACAAATACTGCACCTGTACGCGAATCAAGGGTGGGTCGTGTGAGGGCTGCGCGTAGGAGCAATAGTTGGTCTAACGTAGAGTGGCCAGGTCTGAATCCAGATTCTTGCGGAGTCAGTTTGGTTTCAATGACATCTCTAATACGTGCTGCAATGATCTGTTCCATTAATTTGGACAGACAACTAATGAATGTAACTGCTCTGAACGAATCCAAGTCGGTGGCTTTCTTCTCTGATTTAAGGAGTGGTACAATAATGCCTACTTTCCAAGAGACTGGAACAACGCCCGTACGGAGGCTCTCGTTGAAGAGGGCAAGAGTCTCTGCTTTGGCACGAGGTCCCAAGTGTTGGAGTGCCTCACCGTAGATGCCATCTGGACCTGCAGCCCTCCCTTTAGGAAGGAGACGCTGTGCCCGTTCCAGTTCTGCTGCTGTAATGGGGATGAATTCTGTATCTGTTACTGGAATGGGTGGTGGAGGGTAGGAATGTGGGTGCCGTTTAGCTCTTTGTGAATATAAACGGATAAAGTGCTTGGCTTTCTGATTTTCCGTGAGTACCTTGTTGTTAAGCTTAATCGCCGGGGTACTGAGGGGGCGTGGGGCGTAAATCCTCTTTAAAATGTTCCAACAGCAGCCGTCTGCCACGGCCATGTTATTACAGAGGGTTTTCCATCTCTTATGGGATGCTTGTTTTAGCATTTCTCTCCTGCGAGCTACCAGCCTTTCTCTGGAGACAGAAGGTTTACAATTGTGAATCTTCTTTTCGATTTCATCTAATTCTGGAGTCCAAAAAGGGGCAGTATCTCTACCCCCGTGGGGAACCGCCGCAGCTGTTGCGATACGGATGGCAGGGGTCAGTAGTCGTTCTCTCTTGTGAACGCTCATTTTCTCTTTAAGGCGTTTGTTGCACTGTGCGTTTGTCATTTGTCTAATGCGAGACCATTTCGCTTTCTTCCATGCATAAATGGGGGCACGAGGGCGATGGAACCGCAGTGGTTCATCATCATCTCCTACCACTGCGTCGAAGAGGATGATGTAATGGTCGCTGTCCGGGGAGAAGGATGCCGTCCAGGACTCTAGAGGGCATTCTCGGGATAGTGTCACATCTGGCGCGGACGAGCCATGGCGTGTGGTGTGGGGCGAGTGCAATCTCCAGTGTTGTAAATATAACGCAATCATTATCTAAGCACCATTGTACTATCACATCGCCACGGGTATCAGGGGGGATCGCGCGATCCCATGCCATTGCATGCGCATCAGCGTCTGCACCAATGAGGTGAGGTCCGCTTGTCGTCAAAAGCGTGTCTACTTGCGAGGTTGTGTATGTTCTCACCGGAGAGAAGAATATGCTGACGTCACTGTTAGCGCCAGACCTTCTGACATGTGGATCGTTGCATGAGCATGCTCAACGCTTGCAACTGCGGTGAGTCCTACTTCTACTGGCAGATCTTCACGCACAAGAATCAAAACGCCGCCTCCTTTAGAGGGGCGGGACACTCCATCATGTTGGTAACCAGGAATTGTAAAACTCGACACTTTCGCACAAGATAGCTTATTCTCGCTTAGAAGGCAGAATGTCACATTCTCCTCAAGAAGGGTTTTTCTGGAGAACAAGCCTCTTGGCCTGGGTAAGTCCAGCTGAGTTCCACTGCATTCCACGCAATGAAGGGCCGGGATTTTCCTCTACACCATCACCACTCAGCAGTAACCTGGTGAACGTTTCACTGCTGATAGCACGTCGACACGTGCCCCAGGATCTTCTTGGATATATTTTTGCCTCACCACGACGCGGCTGGTCCCGCTGCTGTGTAACGCCATAGCCAAAGGGCCAACGAGTCTTCAAAAAGAAAAACGTCGTTGGCCCTTTGAATCCCTCGAAGAACGCGGCGCGCCAGAACCCCTCAGCATGGCTGGGCCGCCGCATTTGTTGTGGTTAGCCGCATGGCGTTGGAAATTCAGCAGGTTAAACGGAAATCTTTAAGGGTAATGTGGATATTTTTCTTTCAATCAGGAAATAAAAAAATAACGACCTCGCCAAAAAAAATTTTTTTTCGGTACGAGGTCATTGGTTGGAAAGGGTCCCGCTATCTTCAATATCTTAACCTCAAAGGAAGATCAAAAGTATTTTTTTTTTTACTGAAAGTTGTTTTGTAACAAAACGGTGCGAATGGCGACCCGGGGGTATAATAACGCATGTTTCTTGGCCGACGGGCGCGGCCCAATGCACCAGAAAGCTTTATCGAGGGATTGCCCTTATAAACGTTGGGGTGCATATGGGAAGGAAACAACTTCGAGTTTATTTCTATCGGTTTTCACCACCATAAAGCAACAGGAAACACTTTTCCTTTATAGCATAACTTGGGGGCGGATGCACTCAGCTAACTATCGGACCTTGCCGTTTTGCAGCCAGCTTTCGAATATAGCAAATCTTATAACGTGCAAACCATTGGTAACAAGGGCTGCCTTATCGTGGCGCCAAGGCTGAGTACTTGAATTTGTTAAAGGAAACTAAATGCACTCACTAAATATTTTGCAGGAGGTGGTCTCCTTAAAAACCAAATTCTTTTTATTTTTCTTTGCAATAAATGCGTTCTTAGCAATGGCGTTCCCTTGGGGGTGTTTGGCCATCGAAAGTTGGAGCCAAGGTCCATTACTTCGTATTTTGCGAGGGAAGCCATGGTCAGAAAACTCTTTTTCTATAGCGTTTCCTGGTTCGCAAGCTAAAAACGTCATACAGCACCTGGGCCGGCAGAATCGTGGTGGGAGAAAACTTTATCCAAGAAAATCCTGGGGCGCGGGCCGGCGTGCCATCAGCAGTAGTTTCTTTTACATAATTCACCTTAGTGTGAATGCTGCTAAAAAAGGAGAGGCACGGCCCCAGAGATGGTAACAACTATGTCCTCCAGTGGGGAAAATTGGATTTGGCCGCTGAGGCGACACAGAGAGGCGAAAAAATCCATGCTCTGCCACCTACGAGATCCATTATAATATCATTACCAATGCGTAATTCCTCCGCGCAACGGTAATAAAATACAATGATAAAGAAAATAATAATAATAATAATAATAATAATAAACAAAAAATAAAAAAAATAAAAAATAAAAAATAAAAAATAAAAAAATATTATATACATACATCATTATATATATATATATATATATATATATGTATTGCTGTTGATGGCTCGAGCAATTGGGGTAAAACCCATAAAGTCACGAAGAAAGAAAAAAAAATAGGCAAAATTCCCTCAAAACACTTTCAACGAACGAGCAGGTTCACCCACCGCAGCACTCGCCATCCACCGCAACGCTACTAACAGACGTCTCCAAGTACGGATGGGGAACAGTTGTTATTCAAGGCTTCCGGGGAAGTTTTGGCGGCAGGTGATGCGTGGGAGCATTCGCCGCTCAGATGATTTCCCAAGTGGGTAAGAGTGCAGTTCATCTCACATTACACGGTTTTAAAACACATTTGACATAGCCCTTGTATTTCGCCATAGGCAACACAACGGCAATGCACATTATGAAAAAAGGAAAAACGCATTCACAGACGTAGGTGACGTGGGCCAGGGGCATAGATAGAGAGAGCTTTGCGCTCACACAGAATACGAGCTACTTGGGGTTACGTCGCCCCCAGGGCAATCCTGCGGACGGCATGTGGCATGTCCTGATGGCAAAACGCAGCCATATGAAAGTGTCTAAAGGAGTGGAACTTGCAATGAGTGGAGCGGGGTAGCGGGTTAAAAGAGTTTCTCAGCAATTCCATTTCATCCGTTCCGTTATTTATTTTAGGGAACAACCATCGAAGGAAAAAATTATCGGGATGCATAGATGCATTCTGGGGTATGCAGGGTTCAAGGCGATAAACTAACATCTTGTTTTCTCTTTTCCTTCTTTGCGATCTTTTTTAAGGAGAAAAGGAAGGTTTGGATTATTGTGGTAACTTTTTCCTTTGTGGAAAGCATGTGGGCGCGCAAAGTCCCCGCCCATTTCGGGTGTTACAGGGGAAAAGGACCCTTCGGAGGATTTTTTAATCGCAACTGATAAAGATATTAAGCTGTTTTTTGCGGTTTGCGCGGTGCGTTCTGGGCAATTGCTGAAATACTTTCCGGACTTTGGGAATCATATGTGGTGTTCGTTTCGGGCTCTTTCCAAGTATGAATATTTGAGCGTACGGCAAGAAATCCGTATGGCAGAGGGGAATGGGGAATGGCCGAAGCGCTCGCGCCGCCGAGGGGTCAAAGCTGCAAGAAACACAAAAAAAAAGAAAAAAGCCCCAGACAGATTTCATCAGAAACATCGTTACGAAGATCTTGTCAAAAGAAAAAAAAACACTCATTTTCTCTTATTTGGGGGACTGTTCTAGCTAAAGAGGTTCTTTGGAACCTAATGGCATGCCAAAAAGTGAAAAGGTTCCATATTACACTGGGTATTATCGCAATCAAGCGCTCCAATTCTCTTATATCAGTGCCAAAAGATGGTTCTGGTAAGAAATACCTTTTGATTGATATCATGCGGTGGCGGGGTCGCAACCGTTCCTCCACTGCAGGGATATGTTTGGGAGGTTTAAACAGTTTCTATGTTAATTATGGCAAAACACGGTCGCTAGCATGAATGACGTTATCTTCTTTTTTAATCGTTTTACGATGGCATCTGCCCAACGTCACCGGAAGAAACACATCAAAAGATGTAGTTTTCCCATCTTAATTTTGTTTTAAAAGGCAGCGGTATTCCGGAGAGTTTTGCCAAGTACTCAGAAACTCATTTTTTTTTCTTCTGAGAACGCTGGGGAAAACAGATAATTTGCTGTGAATGGCCTCCTTCTGCAGCTCGTCTGTTCTTGAAGTTCTGCCGAACTAACGGCCGGTTACGACCATTGAGGGGGTAGAAAACCCATTTGCTGAATTATAATTCCTTTGAGAAATACGGTTCTTGATGGAATAAGGGTTTGTTTCAGCGGAGTCTATTTCGACATTGTGCCTACTACCAGCGGGATGGTGGAACACCGTCTGTACGTTTTGAAAGGCCGCAGGGTGGCCGTAGAAAAAGCTGCCTGCCCTGCTGTTTAAAGCCAAAAAGTAAAGAAAATCCACGGGGGCAATGGGGGAAGTGTTCATGGCTTCCGCATCCTAACGTGAAAAAACAAGCGACCCCCACGCCATTGTACGAGGTTCTCTTACTGTTCGATGGTTTTTCTTTTTTGTCCACCTCTTTTTCTGAGGAATGTGGGTTTTGGATTCCGATGGGCTGATGGTCGCGGCGTCCTTTTGAGCAAAAATGTGCCCTTCCACCCGCTCCAATTCTAGAGAAAAACATTTCTTCCAGTGTGTGAACAAATGCTGCGATGCACGATTTTGACGGCATCTTTCTTCTTGCTTAGTTTGCGGAGGGTTGTCGGTGCAAAAGGTCACTTTAAAAAAATGGTTTCCGGTGCATCCCCCTCGTTAAATTCTGATTTTAAAAGATAACAGAATGTTCACATCCAGTAGGAAGGGCCAAACGATCTACTTTAAGGGATTTTAGAGTTCTAAGAATACTGCGTCCAAGTTTTTTTTCGGCCTTTATGGCAATGAATAAATCTCGTTTCTTAGTTTCCTCTTTTCCATCATGCATTGCTAAATGGCAAAATATCATCGTGCGAGAAGATCTGAACGGGAATTACGGACACTTTGTTGGTTGGCAATCCGTGCCAAATTCCACTGAGCATACACAACTTAGTGACCACGTTTCTCTTTTGCGGGGCCATCTAGCGGTAAGAGAGCGCGCTCTACACTTACAAAATGCCAGGACGCGCTGCCAGTTCAATCAATATGCAATATGGCATTGCCTATATATGAAAGATTCTTCTGGTTTTCATGGCGTTGGGGCAAACCTCAAAGTGTTTTTTTGCGGAAGAAAAAAGAATAATGTGAATCTTACGTGGCGTTGTCTACATAAGGTGTTCGTGTGGTTCTCTCAGTTGGTTGTGTCTCCTGATGTTGGGATGGTTTGGGCTTTTTGCTTATTTGGTTATTTGCATTTTCCCCGGGGAAGTTTGTGTAAAAAAAGACTTCCGCTTCGCTTGGGCCACGATGGCGTGCGGGGTCTCTTGGGGAGGTTAAAAACCCCCCGAGGTTCACCAACCCCGGAGGGGCCCTTTTTTTAATTTTTCTGCCAATTCGCGGCGCTTCCGGCGTTTGTTTTTTTTCCGGGCGCCTCGGTTGTTATGTGCCACGGCTCCTTTTGGACCGGCCTTGGTGGCGGTTGGCCCCAACTTTTCGGCCCAATCCGAAAAAAAACCAGGAAAACCCTTTTCCCGGTTCGTTGGTTCTCCACCCCACGATTTTTCGCTGGATTATGTTCGGTTCGGGGCGAGGCTTCGGGGAAACTGGGTTGGGAAGGAATTCTGAAGGGCGTTCTGGCCGCGCGGGGGGTTAGCTGGGAGGGGAACCGCGGTTTTCCGTGTCGTCCGCCCTTGTGGCGCGTTTTGCCTTTTCTGGGTCTTCTTGTGGTTGGGTTGCGGTGTGGGTCCGCATGGCTTTCCATGGCTGTGGTTGGGTTTCTCGTTTCTTTAGAGGTGTCGACCTGGGTGGCTGGAGATTCGTTTGTTCGTGTTTTTTTGCTTGATGCTGATCATTGTTTATTTTGTTTCTTGTTCTACCGCGTCTGCTTCTTCTTCGACTAACTTTTCTGGTTTTCTCTGACTCTTTGGTTTTTCTAAAGGGTGGAGTGTGGGTTCTGAGACTGAAAAAATATTTTTTTTTAAAGGTGTTTGTGCTGTGGTTCTGGAACTAGTTTGATACGTCTCCTATTCATCGATCTTTATAACGGTGTAACCTAAGATAATAACACCATGTACTTTTCTGTGGAAGTTTATATTTTATTTTATTTATTTTCTCAGAGGATCGTTACAAATGGAGTTTCTTTTTTTTTTGTTTTGTATTTTTGGTTTTCTACACGAAATGTGAATTCTCATATCATATTTGTTTTGTTTAACTGTTTTTTTTTTGGTTATCAACGTATATTAGTCTCTTCTCTTCTTTTTCTTAAAAAAAAAATAATTTCTCTTGTTTTTTTTTGCTGAGATTATAGGATATCATCTTTCTCATCTTTGTTTATCTGATTAGGGGTGGAAATAATGTCCACGGATGGTAAGAATGTTTTTGCAAAAATGATTGAGAAACAAGGAAGGAATGATTACTACTGGAGTAATGAAGAGTATACTCATGCAACACGTTCCAGAGTTATGCTAAAAAAGTATGGTAAAGAAATAAAAAAACTCTATGGACATGATCCTTGGATTTGGAGAATTTTAACTCCCTTTATTCTACTTCAACTTTATCTTGGTTACCGAGCATCCGAAATGAGCTGGACGACTTTTCTTCTTCTCTCTTATTTTGTTGGAGGTACAATTACCCACAGTTCTTTTCTTGCAATTCATGAAGTTACCCATTACCTCGCTTTTAAAACACGAATATACAATGATTTTTATGCAATTTTTATAAATCTTATTGTACCATTTCCCTATGCAATGATGTTTAAAACTTATCATTCAGATCATCATCATTACCTTGGTTGGGAGTTAGTTGATGTGGACGTGCCAACTGTTGTGGAAGGTAAATTACTAAGTAATTTCCTTGGTAAGTTTTTCTTTCTGACGTTTCAAATTTTATTTTATGCATTTAGACCTACAATTATCCGGAGGATAAAATTTGATAATATGCATATTATTAATTATGTTGTACAGTTAACCTTTAATTTTTTGGTTTACTCTTTATTTGGATTTGCACCGCTTTTGTACTTTTTGTTCTCTATTTTCTTGGGAACCAGCTGGCACCCTATATCTGGACACTTTATTTCAGAACATTTTGTTTTCAAAGGCGATGGAAAACAAGAGACTTTTTCTTATTATGGACCATTAAATTGGTTAACTTGGAATGCGGGATATCACGTTGAACATCATGATTTTCCTTCTATTCCATGGAATCGACTTCAAAAACTTCGTGATATTGCCCCAGAATTTTATGATGATTTAATTGTTACAGAGTCTTGGCCAGGTACACTTTTTGATTTTTTGTTCGATACAACAGTAAATCAATTCTCTCGTGTTGTTCGTGAGAAAGGGGCTGCACAGCGGGAAAAGTTATTACCAACTTTACCTGGATCTGTAGAAAGGGGGTGAATCGATTAGGTATATGGTTTTAAGGGAAAACAAAACAAGAAAAAAAAACAAGGTAGGAAAAAAAAAAAAAACGAGAACAAGAACGAGGGAGAGTGAGGGGGAAAAATCAAAGACTGAAAATCCAGACTTCAAGTACAGTTAAAGTGAAGGAAGAAAAACAAAAAAAAGAAATGTGGGGTTGCGCAGTGCACGTATCTCTTTTTTTTTTATTTTATTATTTTTTTTTTCGTGAGATAAGGTGGGACACACACAAACACAAACAAGAGGAAAAAAAAATTATAGAAGCAATGAGCAGCATGTCGGCATAAAAGTAAAAGAAAAAAAATGTAATTGGTAGAGTAATTGATTATTACTTTAGGTAAATTCCATCCTTATCCTTTTTTTGATTCTTTGAGAAAAAGTTACTGTCAAAACAGTTCGTTAGCTTTTTCCCTTAAAGTACCATTAGGCAAAGTATGAATGTCTGAGTACGTGCACAATAGACTCCCTAAATTAAGAAAAAAAAAAGAAAACATCTGGATCTATATGTCTTGGGGTTTATTATGTATTTTATTCAAGTAAAAACGTGCAACTTCTGATTTCCATGTAACCTATATAAAATATATTTACATGATATCTATGTACGGTTGTGTATGTGTATATTGGTTTTTTTTTCTTCCTTCTTATTCTTACTAATTCTACAAAAAATAAATTAATACATTCTTTTTCCAAAGAAGGGTTCCCTAGATGAAGCGATTTGCTACCAGCTCATTGGCAGTAGTATCCTCATGCCGATACTTTTTTGGAAAAGGCTGGGATAATGCTGCTTTGGATACAATTTACAGTTGTATGCTTCGAAAACCGGATGTAAATGATCGTATTCGGAGTCAGTATGCTTCTACCATGGATCCACGTGATGCAGATGTACTTCGTCGTCTGGGAGAAGTCGCCAAGGAAAACAAAACTTTTATTCGTGTATTCCTTCCACCTCATTTGGGTGATCCCCACCGTCTTTTGAAGTGTTACAGTCTTATGGCTTATCCAATTCTTGACGATAAGGGAGGTCAGTTAAAGGTTGAAATGGACGGAGAACATCTTGATGCTTTTGCAGATCCTGATGATGATTATGCAAAGGTGGTTATCCCTCACATTGAACTTGTTGAATTCTTGGCTAAATCACTTTTGGAAACTATGAAATGGGAGGCTACACCAAGAGGTGCCGCATCACTTCTTGAATCACTTTACCGTGGAGCTGAGATTCCAGATCATGTGTTCCAGACACCTGCTGTTATTGAACGCTTTGAAGACTACAAGGACGGCAATAAGATTAGTAAGTAGGAGTATAGAAAAGAAATTTTTTTTTTTACTTTATTTATTAGGGTTTCATTCAGAACTAGTATCAGCGTGTCTTAGGTAGTGTTTTTGCCTGGGCCTGTGGGACATATAGTATTATTATTATTTCTTTATATATAAGATTTATTCCTAGTATAATATATTTACTGTTTCCGGTCACTTGAAAAAAAAGGGAGGCAATATGTTTTTTTATTTTTTTTATTTCCTTCTGTATTTTTTTTTTCCTTTTTGGTTTCAAAAATTGACTTCCATGCTGGATTTTTTTTTTTCTATCTTTTTGTTACCATAGAGAAGAATGGAAAAGGTTCTAGTTTTAAAAATGCTTAATAGTGAAGCGGTTAAGCGACGAAAAGTTACCGAATGTAGAGTTCTTTTTGCAGAGGAATTAGGTTTCCGTGAACTTATTATTTTAGATGAGTGCCTTCAATGGAATAGCTATATTGAACAATCTAAAGTGGAGTTGAATTATCATAAATTAAGATTAAAAGAACAGCAAATGTTAGATGATATTCATTCACAGGTGATCAGTTCGTTTGATCTTGGTGATCTTCATAACGAAGAGATGCAATTGCGTTCTTCAATATTGAATTTTCAAAACCGTTTAAACGAAGGTGAAGAATGGTTTAAATCTTTTGATTCTAACCCTACAAAAGCTGAAGAAAAAAGAATAGAAGCTTGGAATCATGAGAAGGAGACTCTTGAAGTTCATATGGCCCATTTACGGATTAGAATAGCAAATCTTAATGAAGAACCTACTGCTAGAACACTGCCTAACGTAGATAACCATTTAGAAACATATTCAGCACCACTTTTCTCTGAAACTATATCAAAAGATATTCAGATTTCTAAGTTAGCAGAATGGACAAAAGAAAGCCTTGATCGTGCTCGTAATCTGTTAACTTGAGAAAAAGTAGAAAAAAAAAGGATTTATTAAATTTTTTTTTCTCTTCTTAAAACCAGTTCTTCTTTGAAAGTTCTCCGGTAAACTGGAGAGAAAAAAAGAAATTTAAATCATGTACCTAGAATTGTTCTTCTGTACCACCCTATCAAATTTTTATGAGTATCCATTTATTTTTCTTTCTGGGAGAGAAAGAGAAAGGAAATACTACCCCTGGGTTTATACAATGGCAAAAAAAATAATGCGTTACTAATCATATTTCTATAACTGCAGGCAGTTTTTTCTAGGTTTTGGTACTAGTCATATCTCTAAATTGGTGTAGCATTCAAGAGTTCGTTCAAGAATATTTTATATATTTTGTTTTCACTCACTTATTGAACATTGCATATATGTATATTTTCTTCAGATGGTGAGGTATCGTTATCACCTCCACAAATTTGTGGAGGTACATAAAAGAGTATGAGTTATTTTTTTTTATTTTAATAACTTTGGTCTTACATGTCTAAAAAAAGTTATCGTTGCATTACATTAAGTTTTATTATTATTATTATTATTATTATTATTATTATTATTATTATTATTATTTATTTTTGTCACCACGAAAATAATGCTTTTCTTGGAGTAGATATGTTTATCCCTTTGCTCATCAGAAAGAAGAACAGTCCAGTTTTAAAGAAAAAAAAAGACAATCTCATTCTTAGCCATGCTTTTTTTTTTTCTTGGCTCTTTTTTCTGTTGGTATTTCTTATTCTTTCTCTATTCCCATGATAAGTACAGAAAGGTGCAGAATGGAAGGATCATCTGGTAATATAAATATATTAACTGCCTCAGTCCCTCATTATGCTCAGATTAGATGGCGATTAGAGGTTCCCTTGGGTTCCCGTACGGCTTCAAAAGTACCTGGAATGCCTTATTACACGATAGCTCTGAGTACAGTTAATCCTATTAGTGGAGCAATAGAAACAAGGTGGATGTTCTGTACATTTGAGAATCTGTTAGCAGTAACGCAGAGTGTAGAAGAAGCTCTTGCCGCACTTGATTCGTCTCGCTATAATTCTTTGAGAAGACTGATAAGGTAAGTCAAAAAAAAAACTTAAGGGATTGCCAATATAAACCAAATAACCTAATTTTTATTTTTTTATTTTGTTTTGTTTTTTTGCTATTAATTTTAAGAAATTATTATCCATTTAACCTAGTAAATACCTTATTACGTTAAATTATCTTTTTTTTTTTATGGAGAAATAATCACTTTCTTGAATTCTAATTGTCTTGG